CGAGAGTTGTTAGAATTTTAGCAACGGAGGAATTTTGCGGTTCTAATGAAGTACGGTGTAACTTTTTCCAAAGATATCATACGGATATTCCCTACTCCAGGTATGTTAAGGCTAAGCTCTTCCTTCATTTTGGCATGATCTTATCATTACACAAGTTTGATAACGAAGCATAAAGAAAAATTCATATCCCGAAATTTACGTATATTTTGCTAGTCTCACAAGTTACAATATTCTCTTTATCGGGACTTCATATTCATTTGAGTATTTCATTCTTCCAGTCAAGAGAGCAGAGAGTTTATATATACAGTGGTAAAGTATTTTCACTACCATCGAGCTATAATCGATGGGAAGGCCCCTATTGGGCAACCTTTGATCAGATGGTAAGTTATATGCTGATCCTAATGTGACCGAACGCCTATGAGCGAGCCTAGTTGGTCGAGATACAAAGCCTAGTATGGCCGAGCGCATATGAGCGAGCCTACTATGGCAAAGCAATTATATATATATATATATATACCGTGCCTTATAGGGCCGAACAACTATTTTACTTACTATATTGAGAGAGTTGAGTCAGTATCAACAGGTAAGCATATCTTCAGATTATATTTGACTTCCAGCTACTTGCAGTTATTATATTATCAGTTCAGTTTCAGCTTTCAATATATTGCATTACATACTCAGTACATTATTTTGTACTGACGTTTCTTTTGCCTGGGGACGCTGCGTTTCATGCCCGCAGGTCCCGATGGACAGGTTGAGAGCCCTCCAAGTAGGCTATCAGCTCAGTGGAAGATGTTGGTGCGCTCCATTTGCTTCGGAGTTGCTTGTTTGGTCAGTATGATTTAGACATATATTGTTTGGTATGGCATGACTCTATCCCGACCTTTATGATATTTATGTAATCTTAGAGGCTTGTAGACATATGTCGTGTACATGAAAGATTGTATGGCCTTGTCGGCCTATGTTTTGAGTTTTAAGTGATCATGTTGGCCTATTAGGCCCATATGTCACGTGTATATGATGATGTAATAAGAAAGATACGTTACTGGTACTCGGTTGAGTAAGGTACCGGGTGCCCGTCATGGCCCATCGGTTTGAGTCGTGACAAAAGTGGTATCAGAGCAGTTCTATCCTAGGGAGTCTACAAGCCGTGTCTAGTAGAGTCTTGTTTATGGGTGTGTCGTGCACCACACTTATAAGCAGGAGGCTACAGGGCATTTAAGACTGCCACTCTTTCTCCTTACTCTAGATCGTGTGGTAGAGCTTACTTATAATAATTCAAATCCCGAACTTCTATTCGTAATAAAACGATGCCTACACTCAGAAAGACGATCGATAAGAGACATAACTGTGGAAGTGTTGAGTTAGAGGAACTCGATTTTGCATCTTGCTTATGATTAGTAAATGTGAGGTCTTCAACAGATCATGCATGTACTAAAAGGTGTAAGGTTCTTGGTAAGGAGCTTTTAGGAAAAGATACTTATTCACTGTTACGGTAAAAAGGAATCGGAAGTTAGATACAAGTTTCAGCAAACAAAAGGAGCAAGGTGAAAAAGGGTACGAGGTACCCAGTTAATGAAGGTTAACAATGTTTATAATTAAGGCAGATGAACATAAGCTTTTTGAGTTATATTCAATAGTAACAGAGGTATATACATTTGGTCGCACCCATTCCAGTTATGCCCTATGGGGGTTAACAAAAGTAGTATAAGAAGATATGGTGGATTAATTGATTGCGTCAGTTGACATTTCCGAAGAATATTACAAATGTGCTAATAAATCTCTTTATGAGACACCTAGATGGTGCACTCTAAAATAGTGCAGCCAGATATGAGTACTACAAAGACATGCACTATAAGCCTTGAAGGGATAAATATTACCTTAGTGTGGCTCGTGTCCCTAGTAAAGCGAGAACGTTAAGCAACTTGAAGAGCTACTGGATGGAGCAAAGGAAAGCTACTAGCGAAGGAATGTCGTATTGAAGTTTTCACAAGAAAAGGTATATGCAGAAATATCAGCAGAGTAATGAGAAAAGGATAAAGAAGCATTATGAATAAGGTGTGATACATGGATGAAAATGGTAGAGTGTTACAGAACCTATAGTCAAACAAAGAAAGAGACGAAAGGTGATGGGCCTTAAGACAACAAAAGAGTATAAGCCATAAGGTTATATCCTCATATTGAGAAATAAGTTTGTGACTCCAACGCGACTACCAGAAGGGAGAGTTAATCCCCAGAGTATAGAAATCAGTATGGGCTGGCAACTAAATATGAATTAGGGACTGAATGATTGGAAAATACTCGACATCATGGGGATTTCAGATTTCGTTCCGGTGGTAATAGAATGGACCACAAAAGAAGATTCATGATGAATTCAGTCATTTAGGGAGACACTTCCCTAAAGCAAGCAATGTGAGCAAAGTTAAGCTTAAGAGACTGTATGTGCCAGTTACGCTAAGTGTCACCCTCGCGAGTAAGGGAATTTGTCATCCTTGGTACAGAAGGATTGCCGCAAGTCAAGTAAGGATCATTGATGTTGAGAAAAGACGCCAAAGATAAAGAGGTAAAACATCTATAGGTAGATCCTTGTGGCATCAGCTCTACACCCCTAGGGGGGGGGGATATGATATGGCATTAAGTCAGAATTAAGTGGTTCCAGTGACTATAGAATGATAAGGGAAAAATGCGATAAGTGAAAGAGGAATGAGATGACACTTATCCAAATCTTACAGATACGCTACGATTCAAGAATATTGTGCAAGCACGATGTCAAGGAGAGGAAGTAAAGGTTCCTTCCCCAGCTGTTATTAATAAATAAGGAGCTAGTGCGAGACGTAAGTTATGACAAAGGAAATAACCTAAGAAAGATTACGAGGAATATTGATATGAGAATGAGCCAATGAGTAGTTAGTAATTGGTTAGGAAGATCCCAGTTATGGCTAAACAGGAGGTTATAGACAAGTCATCAGATCGTATAAGATAAACATAGTAGAACCCAACATGGAGAATTCAGCCTCGAAGAATGTCGTTATAATACTCGAGATATATTCAAACAAGAGTCGGGGTAGTTAAAGGTACCGTATGAGTGTTACGAGGATAAAAGAATGTGCCACTGGGAAAACAGTTAAAATATCAATTCAGAAGCAACAATACAAGAACAAGGGCATGGAAGTAAGCAACTATAGATGATTATAGGCAAGTAAGGACATCAAAAAGGTCCGTAATAAGCTCACAGCTTTAAAAGAGTCAAGAGTTCTCCCTAATTACTACAACGAAAGATTAACTGAGGAAATAAGGAAGAATGCTTCAACCTAAGCACAACAACCTAAAGAGAAAATGGTCGTGTAACAACAGTCTCACAATAAAAATTGTATGCCCTCTAAAAGAAAGTGGCACCTACCGTGGCTAATGATCGGGGAGAAAGATCGAAGGTAATATTCGAGACTATATGAGTTGCACAAAAATTCTGGCATGTGTGGGAACTAGGATGAGTTAAGTATGCACAAAACAAGGGGCAGAAAGACCAGATAAAGTAATTGCACACGTTTAAAGAAAGCTGAGATAGAACAAAAGGAATTGTTCGATCAATGATCCAAAGTTGGTTATGTTATGAACACATTTGAGGGTTCAGAGTTTTATACATGCAGCATATACAACCATAGAAAATTTTGGTATACATTAAGAGAAAAAATTGAGCCCAGGGCATAGACAAAGGATTGAATTGTTAGAAGATTGTATCATGTATATTCCATAACGCCCATGAAAGGCTAAGGTAATAACTAATACCATGAACCACAGATCGAAAGATAGCTCAAGCCTACATAAAGGTTGATCAGAAGGAAGAGGAAACTAAAAGAGTTACATCAATGAAGTGAATTAGGAAATCCGATTATTAAACCCAGAACTTATAGGAATCATGATTGAAAACATAACAGAATCACTCTTAATATTAGAGGTGCAAGAGAGATAGCACAATAACTATATTCTATAACGGCTCTACGATAAATCCAGTTAGAATAAGTACCAGCCTCATAAGAAGTCAGTACGGAGCTCCCACCAGATTATATAGGCACAAGAGGTGCAAGTATTATAATAGAGCTTCAAATGGTGGATGTGATTTATACCTATGTGGGAGGAAGGTTATGAAGGAAAGATAGAAGAATGTAAGGTGATATTTTAAAGTAAGGTAAAAGTGAACAACGTATGAAATATTCAAGTATAGAAGGATGAGAGTGGTCCATACTTCAGGTAAAAGACTAGAAGTGCTAGGATTCAGTATTCAGGAATGATAGCAGCGTCATTAGTGGCATACCTTCCAGCCTATGGTTTCTAAGTACCGAAAGGTTTAATTAGAGAGTAAAAGGAGAGTTAGAGACGATGCGATGTCTTGCTTGATGTTCCAGAAAAGCATAAAGAAATCGATCACAAGCTAAAGTATGATAGAACAACAAGGTTTTAGAAAGACAAGAGTAAGGATAAGAAGAAGGCAAGTGAGAAGGTGACAACAATGGATAAGTCCTTGGGATAAAACACGTGAAAACAAAGGAGCTGATGGTCTCTCTAAGTTATAAAAAGCTCAATATAGCCTGAATGAACTCAAATGAGTCTAAGACTATTAGCATTTAGAAAAGATGGAATACTGCCTGAGGGTGTAATTGTGATAGATAAAGGATGATGTTTGGGCCTTCGGTTGAGTAATGATTCCATGAAGTGTACATAATTAAAATACCCACATAAGGTAAACCACATTGGGATGCTATGAAAAACGGTTATGGAGGTATGGTATAGTATCACCCCTAGGTGGATCAATCTAAATATTCCAGATGTCCCCGATGAGACGCAAGCCATAGCGGCGGTGTTACATGAAAGATCAAATTATTAGTGGTAGATGATGAAGCAACATGTCACGCCCCGAACCTAGGGGCGAGACTGGCACCCAGNATATATATATACATACATACATACATACATGCATACATACAAGATGTATATAAGGCTCTAGACCCGAAAACTCCAAAAGGCTTGGAGCTTACCAATCAAGCTAAACTCGGGCAATACCTATTGTGGAGGCCTACCCGTCTGTCTGTCTGACCTGTACGCATGAAATGCAGTGCCCCCAAAAAAGGGACGTCAGTACGAAATAATATATTGAGTACGTAAGGCAATATACTGAAAGCTGAAACTGAACTGATAATATAATAATTGCAAGTAGCTGGAAGTCAAAGATAATCTGAAGATATGCTTACCTGCTGATACTGACTCAACTCTCTTAATATAGTAAATAAAATAGTTGTCCGGCCCTATAAGGCTTGGTATATATATATAACTGCTCTGCCGTAGTAGGCTCGCTCATAAGCGCTCGGCCATACTAGGCTCTGTATCTCGACCAACTGGGCTCGCTTATAAGCGCTCGGCCACATTAGACTCGGTATATAACTTACCATCTGATCAGAGGTTGCCCAATAGGGGCCTGCCCATCGATTATAGCTCGATGGTAATGAAAATACTTTTAATACTGTATATATGTAAACTTTCTGCTCTCTTGACCGAAAGAAGAAAATACTCAATTGAATATGAAGTCTCAATAAGGATAATATTGTAACTTACAAAACTAAGAAAATATACGTAATTTGTGAGACTAGCCAAATATACGTAAATTTCGGGATACGAATTTTTCTTTATGGCTCATAAACAAAATCGTGTAATGACAAGATCATGCCAAAAGAAAGAAGGGAGGGCCTTAACATACCTGAGATGATTCCCTTGATCAATCACAACCTACATATAGATAGGTGGTTTTGGCAATTTCTAACACGTTATTCCGAACTTGACAATGTGCAGCTTCCTGTTTCAATAAACTAGCTTCATGTTTCAAAGAAACTAATTCATCACTTGACTATGTCATTACCAAGACCATGTTAAATACTAGCTCCACCATTGCATTCAATTAACGTGAGAAAGGAAGCAACCTTGAAGAAGCCTACTAACTTTCATGGCAGAAAAAGATCAAAGCTTTAGGTTCACAATCTCTAGGGAGGTAATTATTGTACGTGAATATCTCATCCGTGTAGAATTCAGTATGCATTACTCTAAATAACAACCCAAAATAGTAGAATATTATGAAGAGAGAAAGAGTTGAAATTTTGTAGCTTTTCTAAGAACTCTCGTTGTTAAGGTGCCAAACTTTTTATCTGATTGTAGGGATTGTATATTAATATAAAGAATGAAGTGTCCTTGATTTATTAACGTAGTTGCCACCTAATGAAGGTTTTCTAAGAGTCATCAAAGGGCTAAAAGGAGGTGCTGCTACGTTAATATTTTATAAGTCTTATCCAAAAATTATCTACTTATTAGTTAACTGGGTAATGTCCTATCACCCGGTAATTAATCAATTACCCACATAATTTAAAAATTATCACAAATTACTTAAAATTCTATTTATTTTTAAAATACTTCATATATACTTTATATATTATACTACCGTGGTCATATGGTACCTTGAATGGTACTAGTTCATAATTATCAGGTATTATCGCTCAACCCGTATTTTATTCCAAATTGGCCACTTCCAACGAAACTTGTTTTCGTTAAATCCGTGTACCCCTTTACCCTTCATAATACTTATTTATCGCTTGTTATAAATAGCGTAAGTACGTTAACGTCAAGATGATTTCATTCCTGATTCTACGTCGGTTAACTGAAAACAAAATTTTTAATGTACAATACTTCAAGGTGCAACATTGTTGTAACTTAATATTGCGAAATGTGACATCACTGTAATGTAATACTGCGGGATGTGATATCTCACTTTCAGGTTCTCATTAATTTATTTATGGAGTATTTTCATGTACGAAAATATGGGGTGTAACATCATTCCTCCCTTTGGGACATTCGTCCTCGAATGTTGACTGATGCGTTTATCGTTCTCATATCCCATAGCTCTTGCGAATACTTTAATAGTCCTCTTGCTATCTAGGCAACTATTCTGTGAATAAGTCCAATGTCTTGGGTATTCCCCCCTTTAGTCTTTTTGCTCATCTCATGACCTGTGGTCGAAATCTTCCTAATCTTGCAACTTTTGTTACCTCCTGTCATGCAGCTTGTATGACCCTGGCTTTGTAAATGCACTTATGCGTTCCATCTTTCCTTTTTCCATTTATTGTTCAGTCAATCTCTAGACCTTACTTTGTATACACAATGCTTAATAGGATGCCTCTCTGGGCCTCTATAGGTATACTAAAGTCCTTTGCTCGATACTTTGTAGAATTCACAAATATTGCTATATCTCATCGCATAGATCTGTTTAGCCATCCGTATGAATTTAATGCCATAACTCTTACTTTAATTTATTGTTGCTGAGGTCTGCTACCAAATCCCAGCTTACTCTCGTTGCTTATTCTATATGTATAAATTTAATTCCTTTAATGCTTCCTCATTACAACTCATCTTTAGAATGACGGCTTAATCTCATCTCATACTTTGTGACTTTTGTCCATCCATTGTTGATTCACCTTAATATTGATTTACAATATACCACTGATAACTTGAAACTTCTTATGTAATACTTTTCCCCTAGGGCTTACGTTACCTCAAGGAATATTCGAAGTGATCCCCATAATCATATTTCATAGTGTCTCAATGTGATTCACCTTATGGGGGTATCTTGATTTTGTGCCGCCAGCAAAATTTTTTTCTCCTTCTCTCTTTCTATTTTCCTTTTTTTTTCTTTTTCAAATCATTATTCAGACGAAGGCCCAAATGTCATCCTTTATCTGTCATAATTATCACTTTATTTTAATACTAGGTCAGCATTTCATTCCTTCTAAATGCTATTAATCTTAGACTCCTTGGAGTTCATTAAAGCTATAGTGAGCTTTGTATAACATAGAGAAACTGTCTGTTCTTCTTGTTTTCATGGGCTTAATCCTAAAGATTTATCCATTCTCGTCACCTTTTCACTTGCCTTTCCTCATCTTTACTCATATTTCCTTAAAACTTTGTCGCTTTACCATACTTTAGCTTGCGACCTGTACATATCCATTTATAACTTTCTTTCAACTTGCTTGCATTTCCTTGTGTTATTTTAGAACATCAAGCGAGACATCACATCATCTCTAATTCTTCTTTACTTTCTTAACTAGACCTCTCGATACCCAGAAATCACTAAGTAGAAGATACGCTACTGACGATGCCGCTATCATTCCTGGATATTGAATCCTCGCGCTTATAGCCTTCTATCCGAAGTATGGATTATTCACGATATTCTGCCCTTGACTATCTCGTACGTTGTTCACCTCTACCTTACTTACCTTAAAATCTCGCATCGTATCTTCTATCTCTCTCATGACCTCCCTTCCACCTAGGTGTAATTCACGTCCATAACTTGAAGCTCTTATTATAATACTTGCACCTCTGGTGTTTACACAATCCCGTGGGAGTTTCATACTGACTTCTTATGAAACTGATACCTTTCTAACTAGCTTTATTGTGGAACTGTTATAGAACATAGTTATTAGCTATCTCTCTTGCACCTCTAATATTAAGAGTGATTCTGCTATGTTCTCAATCATGATTCCTATAACTTCTGGGTCCAATAATCAGATTCCTGATTTACTTTGTTGATGTAACCCTTTAGTTTCCCTCTTCTTCTGATCGACCTTTATGCTGGCTTAAGTTATCTTCCAATCTGCGGCTCATGGTATTTGTTATTTCTTTAGCCTTTCATGGGCGTTATGAAATATCCATGATACAATCTTCTAACAATTCAATCCTTTGTCTATGCCCTGGGCTCAATTCTTTCTTTTAACTTATACCAGAGTCTTCTATGGCTGTATGATTGTCAACAAATATGCTGCCTGGATAATGCCCCAAAATCTTGAGTGTATCTATAACGTACTAACTCTGGATTATTGATTGAATAATTCCTTTCTTTCCATCTCATCTTTCTTTAAACGCGTGCAATTACTTTTCCTGGTCTTTCTGCCCCTTGTTGCCTGCATACTTAACTCACCCTAGTTCCCACATATTCCGGAATTTTATTGCAACTCATATAGTCTCGAATATTACCTTCAATCTTTCTCCCCGTTCATTAGCCACGGTAGGTGCCACTTTCTTTTAGAGGGCATACAATTTTTGTTGTGAGACTGGTTTTACATGACCATTTCTCCTTCGAGTTACTATATTTAGGTTGAAGCCTTCTTCCTTTATCATTCCATAGTTACTAGATCCACTTAATTCTGACTTAATACCACACCATTCCTTATTCCCCCCTTTAGGGGTGTACTAAGAGTTGAAGCCACGAGGATCTACCTATAGATGTTTTACCTCTTCATCTTTGGCATCGTTTCTCAACATCAATAATCCTTACTCGCCTTGCGGCAACCCTTCTGTACCAAGGATGACCAATTCCCTTACTCGCAAGGGTGACACTTAATGTAACTGGTACATACAGTCCCTTAAGCTTAAATTTGCTAACATTGCTTACTTTAGGGAAGCGTTTTCCTAAATGACCATTCTCTGAATTTCTCATGAATCTTCTTCTGTTGTCCGTCCTATAATTGCCAGAACGCGATATGAAATTCTCATGATGCTGACTATTATCAAATTACTAAGTCCCTAATTCATATTTAGTTTATCTTGTTCACCAATCCATACTAGTTCTATTATTCTGGGGTCTAACTTTTCCTCTTGGTAATCACGCTGGAGTTGTGAACTTATTTCTCGAAATGAGGACATGACTGTATGTCCTATACTCTTTTGTTGTCCTAAGGCCTGTCACTTCTCGTTTCTCCATTCACTTGACTATAGATTTTGTAATATTGTCATCTTTTGATCTACCGTTGTCATCCATGTATCAGATCATACTCATAATACTTCATTAACTCTCTTATTATTTCCTGCTAACATTTCTGGCTATCACTTTATTTCGAAAACTTCGACAAGATATTCTTTTGCTTTTAGCTCCCCTTGCTTCATTCATTGGCTTGTCGGTTTGCTTAACGTTCTCGCTCTACTAGGAACACGAGCAATACTAAGGTAATATTGCTCACCTTATCAAGAGGCTTACACCTTTCAGTACGCACATGATCTGCTGAAGGCCTCATATTTACTTATCATAGGCGTCATACAAAAATCTGATTCCTCTGACTCAGCTCTTCTACAACTATCTCTCTTTCCAACCTTCTTTCCGGATGTAGGCATCGTCGTATTACAAATAAAATAGAATTTCGGAAGGTGAATTCTTATAAGTGAGCTCTACCACACGATCTAGAGTAAGAAGAAAGAGTGACAATCCTAAATGCCCTGTAGCCTCATACTTATAACTGTGGTGCACGACACACCCATAAAAAAGATTCTACTAGACGCGACTTGTAGACTCCCTAGGACAGAACTGTTCTGATACCACTTTTGTCACGCCCTGAACCTAGGGCCGAGACTGGTACCCAATGCCTCAGCTATCCTTGGGTACTAACTTGCAACTAAGGGACTCTGAACATATGATGTCATACTTTGGCCATGGGCCACATTGCAAGATAACTACGAATGCTGACTAACTGTTAATATATAACTGGGCCGACAAGGCCATCATAACTATTACAGCTGATAAACCAACCAAATATACATACAAGACCTGCAAGCCTAACATATTGCACTAATTGACAGGATATGTCTACAAGCCTCTATTGATGGATATACTGTGATCGGAATAGCTACCCAACCTACTCATAACATATATATATATACACACAAGATGTACATAAGGTTCTAGACCCAAAAACTCCGAAAGGCTTGGAGCTTACCGATCAAGCTGAACTCGAGCAATACCTATTGTGGAGGCCTACCCGTCTGTCTGTCTGACCTGCACACATGAAATGCAACGCCCCCAGAAAAGGGACGTCAGTACGAAATAATGTACTGAGTACGTAAGGCAATATACTGAAAGCTGAAACTGAACTGATAATATAATAATTGCAAGTAGCTGGAAGTCAAAGATAATCTGAAGATATGCTTACCTGCTGATACTGACTCAACTCTCTTAATATAGTAAATAAAATAGCTGTTCGGCCCTATAAGGCTCGGTATATATATATAACTGCTCTGCCGTAGTAGGCTCGCTCATAAGCGCTCGGCCATACTAGGCTCTGTATCTCTCCAACTGGGCTCACTTATAAGCGATCGGCCACAATAGGCTCGGTATATAACTTACAATCTGATCAGAGGTTGCCCAATCGGGGCCTGCCCATCGATTATAGCTCGATGGTAATGAAAATACTTTTAATACTATATATATGTAAACTTTCTGCTCTCTTGACCGAAAGAAAAAAATACTCAATTGAATATGAAGTCCTAATAAGGATAATATTGTAACTTACAAAACTAAGAAAATATACGTAATTTGCGAGACTAGCCAAATATACGTAAATTTCGGGATACAAATTTTTCTTTATGGCTCATAAAAAAAATTGTGTAATGACAAGATCATGCCAAAAGAAAGAAGGGAGGGCTTAACATACCTGAGATGATTCCCTTGATCAATCACAACCTACATATAGATAGGTGGTTTTGGCAATTTCTAACACGTTATTCCGAACTTGACAATGTGCAGCTTCCTGTTTCAATAAACTAGCTTCATGTTTCAAAGAAACTAATTCATCACTTGACTATGTCATTACCAAGACCATGTTAAATACTAGCTCCAACAGTGCATTCAATCAACGTCAGAAAGGAACCAACCTTGTAGAAGCCTACTAACTTTCATGGCAGAAAAAGATCAAAGCTTTAGGTTCACAATCTCTTGGGAGGTAATTATTGTACGTGAATATCTAATCCGTGTAGAATTTAGTATGCATTACTCTAAATAACAACCCAAAATAGTAGAATATTATGAAGAGAGAAAGAGTTGAAATTTTGTAGCTTTTCTAAGAACTCTCGTTGTTAAGGTGCCAAACTTTTTATCTGATTGTAGGGATTGTATATTAATATAAAGAATGAAGTGTCCTTGATTTATTAACGTAGTTGCCACCTAATGAAGGTTTTCTAAGAGTCATCAAAGGGCTAAAAGGAGGTGCTGCCACGTTAATATTTTATAAGTCTTATCCAAAAATTATCTACTTATTAGTTAACTGGGTAATGTCCTGTCACCCGATAATTAATCAATTACCCACATAATTTAAAAATTATCACAAATTACTTAAAATTCTATTTATTTTTAAAATACTTCATATATACTTTATATATTATACTACCGTGGTCATATGGTACCTTGAATGGTACTAGTTCATAATTATCAGGTATTATCGCTCAACCCGTATTTTATTCCAAATTGGCCACTTCCAACGAAACTTGTTTTCGTTAAATCCGTGTACCCCTTTACCCTTCATAACACTTATTTATCGCTTGTTATAAATAGCGTAAGTACATTAACGTCAAGATGATTTCATTCCTGATTCTACGTCGGTTAACTGAAAACGAAAATATTAATGTACAATACTTCAGGGTGCAACATCGTTGTAACTTAATATTGCGAAACGTGACATCACTGTAATGTAATACTGCGGGACGTGACATATCACTTTCAGGTTCTCATTAATTTATTTATGGAGTATTTTCATGTATGAAAATATGGGGTGTAATACAACATTAAGGTAAATCAACAATAGATGGATAAAAGTTTAACAGTATGAGCTGAAATTAGACCATCAATCTTAAGGATAAACAACGAGTGTAATCTGGAGTTGGTTGTAGACCTTAGTAATGATAAACCAAAGTAAGAGTTATGTTATAGTATGACTTACCGAAGTACAGTAAAGTCATATGTATGGATAACCAGGTCTATGAAATAAGATATATCTATATTCGCAAGTTCTACAAAGTACCGAGCGAGGAACTTCAGTACACCTATATATGCCTAGAGAGGCATCCTATTAAGTATTGTAAATATTTACAAAGTAAGGCCTAGAGATTGGCAAAAAGCTAAAAGGAAAAAGGAAAAAATGAATCGCATAAAGAGCACTTACAAAGCCAGGGTGATACAGGCTGCATGATAGGAGGTAACAACAGTTGCAAGATTAGGAAGATTTCGACTACATGTCATGATATGAGCAAAAAGACTAAAGGGGGGAATACCCTGGACTTTGGACTTATTCACAGAACAGTCGCCTAGATGACAAGGGAAGTTTTAAGGTATTTAGAAGATATAAGTTATGAAAATGATAAGTGTAGCAGTCAACATTCGAGGACGAATGTTCCAAAGGGGGGAATAATGTTACGCCCCGCAGTATTACGTCGATGTTATGCTCTGCAGTATTATATTACGATGATGTTACCCTTTGCAGTAATGTATTACAATGGTGTTACGTCTTGCTGTATTAAGTTACGACAATGTTGCACCCAACAATATTACATTACGCTGATCTTACACTTCGCAGTAGTAAGTTACGACAATGTTACACCCTGTAGTATTTTACGTTGAATTTGTCGTAAGGTAATTGTCTTCAGTCCAAGGAAAAGATTATTTGCGGATTATAAGAATTATGCTATTTCACAAGTGATTAGTAAATTCATGAAGGTGAAAGGGGGAGCAAGTCAAAGAAAACGAATTTTTGTCTAAGTTTGGCATTTTGGGATAAAATACGGCCCGCGCTAAAATACTCGGTATTTATGGACTTGTACCATGCAAGGTACCATATGACCACGGTAGTATAAGGTATAAAGTATATTAAAAATAAGTAGAATTTTAAGTAATTTGGGGCAATTTTTTTTAATTATGCGAGTAATTGATTAATTACCGGGTAACAAAACATTACCTAGTTAACTAATAAGTGGATAAAGATTAATTATCTCATCCCCAACCCCACGTGGCAGCCTGCCATGATACAAGGAATGACTAAGGCATTCTTTGCTAGGTGTCATGAAGATACCATGTCCAAGACTTGACTAATCAAGTCTTTCACTTAAAGACTAAACAAAACTATACTAATTTCATTGGAAATCTTTCAAGAACGTGAGTTAATGCTCCAAAATCCTTAAATTTATTTTTTTAAGTCTTTCAAAACAGAACTTTGCAAAATCATCTTCAATCTTTCAAAACCAAGAACATGAGTTAATGCTCCAAAATCTTTAAAGTCATATTTTCAAAGTCTTTCAAAACAGAACTTTGCAAAATCATCTTCAATCTTTCAAAATTCAAGAACGTGAGCATTCTGAGTTGAAAAAGGCAACGTGTTACAACATGGTTCTATAATTTCAACAAATCCACAAGAGTTTTTAGAATTTTAGCAACGGAGGAATTTTGCGTTTCTAACGAAGTACAATATAACTTTTTCCAAGGATATCATACGGATTTTTCCTACTCTAGGTATGTTAAGGCTAAGCTATTCCTTCATTTTGGCATGATCTTGTCATTACACAAGTTTGATAACAAAGCATAAAGAAAAATTTATATCCCAAAATTTACGTATATTTTGCTAGTCTCGCAAGTTACAATATTCTCTTTATCGAGACTTCATATTCATTTGAGTATTTCATTCTTCCAGTCAAGAGAGCAAAGAGTTTATATATAAAGTATTAAAGTATTTTCATTACCATCGAGCTATAATCGATGGGCAGGCTCCTATTGGGCAACCTCTGATCCGATGGTAAGTTATATGTCGATCCTACTGTGGCCGAGCACCTATGAGCGAGCCTAGTTGGTCGAGATACAGAGCCTAGTATGGCCAAACGCATATGAGCGAGCCTACTACGGTAGAGCAGTTATATATATATATATATATTTATATTTACCGAGCCTTATAGTGCCGGACAGCTATTTTACTTACTATATTAAGAGAGTTGAGTTAGTATTAGCAGGTAAGCATATTTTTAGATTATCTTTGACTTCCAACTACTTGCAGTTATTATATTATCAATTCAGTTTCAACTTTCAGTATATTGTCTTACATACTCAGTACATTATTTCGTATTGACGTCCCTTTTGCCTGGGGACACTGCGTTTCATGCCCGCAGGTCCCGATGGACAGGTCGAGATCCCTCCAAGTAGGTTATCAGCTCAGCGGAAGATGTTGGTGCGATCCATTTGCTTCGTAATTGCTTGTTTGGTTAAAATGATTTAGACGCATATTTTTTGGTATGGCGGGACTTTGTCCCGACCTTTATGACATTTATGTAATCTTAGAGGCTTGTAGACATATGTCGTGTACGTGATAGATTGTACGGCCTTGTCGGCCTATGTTTTGAATTTATAAATGATCATGTTGGCCTATTAGGCCCGTATGTCACGTGTATATGATGATGTAATAAGAAAGACACGTTATGTTGGTACTTGATTGAGTAAGGTACCGGCGCCCGTCATAGCCCATCGGTTTGTGTCATGAAACATTTTTGGCAAAATCTGAGCCGAGCGGAGGTGAATTGGCCTACTTGAGGTAAGTATCTCTGCCAAACTTTATATGGGGGAACTTTCCCTTATAATTTGGTCTAATTGCATTATTTGTATTATGTGGAACGATGTGTACATGAGGTGACGAGTGTGTACATGGGCATATGTGTGGTAATTGACCGAATTAGACCTTATGCTATTAATATGCCTTGAAGTGGAATTGTTTGTTATTTGAAGCAATCTATTGTTGTTCACTTCCCGTACCCTTGTGTTATTATTGAGATTCCTGTTAATATTGTTTTCGAGCCGTGTGCTATGTATTATTGTGCCTTTGGTATTGTAGTTTGGGCGATGCAGTGGCATATGTGCACATGTGGTGCATTTGATTGTTGTATTGTGAGTGAGATGCGCATGCGGTGACATAAGGATGGTGTGTATATTATGCGCATGCGACGAGATA